TATTTCAAATACGTTGAGCATCACATGATTAAACCACATGACTATCGAGGGCAAGATTTTTTGTCCCACACTGTATAAACAACCAAATCCGCAATTACTTCGCTAACACTACTCATTTGAAGAGCCATACCTAACGACTTATCAAGAGAATAACGATCCACTGCTCTATACTCCCGCAGACATGATCTCCTTTTCCAATTGACCTGACTCTTCTGCTTTATTATTATGGCCACATGGTTACCAATGTCCTAAACGAGATCTCAAAGCGGTACATTTACATGTCACTGCCTGAAGCGGATGGCCTCCTTTCGCAGGCATTTCCCGGAACTTTCCTTCTCTTTGGCGTCGGATGCGACAATGGCATTGCCAAGGGAGCCCTCCTTTTTGGAGAGGAAAACTCCTGAAGCAAAGCCAGGCCCGGATCTTCATTTTCGTCCTCGCCCTCGGATGATTTGGCATTGCCAACAATGAGATCCTCGTTCCTGAGTACATGCAGCTGGGGATTTTGAAACAATTTGAGCAAAGACGGATATCAGACAATCTGAGAAAAGAATTATGACAAAGCCAAACAAAATGGCATCAGGATACATACCCGTGTCAGCAAGAAGTCCAGAAACACTCTGCCATTGGCCTTGAGCGTTTCTTTTGAGACTGTCATAGACAGCTCCCTCCAGTCATTCACGAAGCATCTCGTTATGTACCCCTTGGGCGAGTCGAGCAGGAGAAACGCAACCATTGGTCCGTATATGGCAAGGCCAGGCACAGCAAGAGATCGCAAAACGTGTACATCCCCCCCAGCACGTTGGACGTTGCTCATCCAGATGTCACGCAGCACCTTTGGCAATTTGCCCAAACTCTCCACCATCAGTTTCGTTCCCTTTGCTCCTTTCCATTGGGCACCAGCTTCAGTTGCCGCAAGGTCTTTGGCAGTGCCATCGAAAAGCTGCACATAGCCATCACCTTTTTTGCCAATAGCTTTCCTCGCCATTTCCTTCATTCCTGGCAAAGCCC